TCCATCTAGATGTTCTTTCATGCGGACGCAAAGTGGTCTACCGGTTTCCCCAATAAATTCCTCGTCGCATGCGTTGAATGAGATCAAGTATATTATACCTAGACTCATGCAATCCCCGTCTCTCCCGTTAGAACAGATCATACAGTTTTCTGAGCTGCACAAACGATCATAGAGACGGTTTCGAACTAACTGGCGGCGTAGGGTATTGGGTGGGATGTCAACAATCGTTACATAATTTTCAAGACCACTTTTTCTTAAGCACTTTTTAATGGCGTGACTCATTTCATTTGATATGAAGGGTAGCTTAAAGAGGATCTTACTTTCGTCCGAAACATTATTTTAGGAAACTACTCCACGATTTTCTCTAACCCGAGTGGCTTCTACTTTGTAGCCATTGGAAATGGCAATTTTTCGTGCCAGGCTTCGCGATTCCTTCCTTTCCTCTTCTTTTTCCCTTACCTAGTAATAGTCATAAATGATGGGTGTTTGATTCGAGCATGGTAGCGGGTGAGATTGTCGTACTGTTATCTGCAAACCAATAACTGCAAGTGCAGCTGTTTGACGTTGGTTATGAACACGTCCGTCCAACGTGTTGGTGGTCGTCCTAGACAGCGCTTATATCCCGTAGAGTCCACTTTGTAATTTTGTCGTCCATCTATCGTCCATTCTTCTCATTATGTGACCGGCCAGCTTGCACGAGGTTCTTAAACAACTTTTATTCGGTTAACCTTTCGACGTTTTCGTTTTCCTCAAAGTTGATAATCCGAATCAATGGCCCACAGTTGTCCGTCTTCTCGACGAACGGTGAACCCGTTGTCGTACATAGTCGAAATTTCTTCAGTGGAGCACCGCTCAAATGGGGCAACCTCACCTCACAAAGATCTTTTATACAGGACGGCCGTCGACTGATTATCGATCGATAGTGATTCCTTTTAATGTCAACAGTTTACGAATGAAATTAACAACCAAATTACATATAGTTATTAGTTGTCATATTGATTAACAATTAACTTATACCTTCTTAGATGATTAAGCCAGCAAGAGTTTGATTGAAAAATAACCTCTATTCAGCTAAGTTTCTGTATATCCCTTTTTTCAGAGCCAGAAGGATGGAGCCGATTGGCCACAGCATATTCCTTCTCCGGTGCTCCAGTGGTTCCAACTTACAACGGAAACCCATTTTGCAAGAATGAGGAGCTGTGGGCAGTCAACTCAATCAATTCGGCTTTGATGCACACGATAGAGCCGAAATGTTACTCTAGCAGATTTTTTTGTCAACACCCATTCATTTCAAGGAGCTCGTTTAATAATGAGTTTTAGCAGCTGGAAGAAAAATTTGATGCAAAACTAGTTGCTTTTTTTAACCGAAGAACTTCGCACAGCTATGTGTCTATGGTAGACAAATTGTTCACCATGGCGTAATAACCAATTCCTGATGAGTTCAGTGCTGTTACCAGTAGTAACAATTTTATGAGTTGCGTTTAGGTCAGTGGTTTGAGGTGGTCTCAAATTCAAAGGAGGTTGTGATTTGATCCTGCTCTCAATGCTTAGAGATCTTCCATTCTTTTGGTGTGTAACGTTGCTGCACAGTCAATCGTCCTATTTCATTCCTAGGATTGGTCGAGCGGGTAGCTTTATTACAAAGCCTTGGAGTGAGAGACCCCCACTCTTGTTGTGAAAAGTGAAGGGATAGACGTGGAAGAGCTGTCAACAAAATAAGATTTTATAACAACCTTATGTAAGTCTAGGAATGAGGTAAGATATTGGTCATTCATTGAAAGGGCAATTGAAAGCCGACTTTTAAGCAAGAAATAAAAACGACAAATTAGAATGACAACTTAAATCTCAAAATACAACCGCTCAATAAACATTCCCATAAATCACCACAAAAGTACTAAACTATGACACAATCTATTCAAAGTTGCTTATGAGGTGATGAATTTTGCAAAAACGATCTATTGGATTCTCAGAATGACACAGCGTTTCTTATTATTCGGTACAGTATCGAAAACACACTGTACCCGCTGTCGAAAACTAAGTGTAGAGCAGCTGACTGGCTCCTTGTTGTGAGGACAGGATAAGGGCTTCTAGTCGAACATAAGAGCGCCATTAAGAAAGAGCACTAAAATAATCAGAAGTTCTGGTTCGAGAGCGCTATTAAGATTACTCCAGTAACGCCAGCTCCGACTGCCAATGTGAGAAAAATCAGGTTGTTCCGACCCTGAATAACAGTTGTCACTGATTACAAAGACATTTTTCCAGTTAATTCAATCCATGGAATGTTTGAAAAAATCAATCAGTTTCTTTATTCATCCACATACGCGAAAACGTATATTGTTTTTTTTAGACGAACATCACAAGCGATTTCCAAACCCAGTCGAGAAAAATGAAATGTTATGTGAAAGTCAAAGTGTAAAGTAAGTGGATTATGAAAGAAAAGAGTTTATGGTATTTGCCTAGCGAAAAAAAAGCAGAATGAAAAAGAGCGTCATAGAAAAACTATGCGTGAGTTGATGGGGAGTCTCTTCATTGACTAAATTTTGGAAGATATTAATGCGTTCCGTTGGAATGAAACTTGGAGGAGCGCTTCGAATTCACGTTTCTAAAGAGGCTAATCTGCGATGCATTCCAGTGCACATTGGCTCGGTCCTTTGTTCTACACCATGTTTCAGGCTCATCAAGTCTCCATTCTTTCGAGGTCAGCAGATTAGTACCAGATTTATTATGGGGAATAAAAATACTGACTAAATACACCACCAGGCCAGTCTAGGTCATTGTATAAACTGCTTCCGCACTGAATCACTTCTCCGGGCACGATGAAATCGAATGCATGGAACCACTACTCAGGCTTGAACGCTAACATGTGGAAAAGTTGCTCTGCCGCCCTTCCTTCTATTAATGATCAAGTGAATCAACATTGCATCAATAAACTCTGTTCTCATTTGCGAAATATAACTTCAATGATGCTGAGATATTTGCAAAACTCCGGAGTGCAGGTGTCTGCGGTGGGGAACGAACGCGCTATTGTCCTTTCCGGGGAGAAACGCGTTCACCACCACACAATGCGGGTCCTTTGTTTCGCCTGCCTCATCACTGAAGTTATACTTGGCAATATACCTTGACATTAAAAAAGAGTAGGCAGTAAATAATAAGTTAAAATTGTGATTATAACTACAGCTTCAGCTTAACTGGGTTCGTTGCCGATTTGGGTCCGATGCCCCTCAGATCAATCCCACTGACGGGTGACTGCTGTGGCAAAAAAGACAATAGCACGTTCGTTCCCCACCACATACACCTGCGGTCCGGCGTTTTGCAAATATTTCAGCACCATTGAAGTTATATTTCGCAATATACCCTGCCATTAAAAAAGAGTAGGCAGTAAATAATAATTTAAAATTCTGCTCTCAATGTTGACCTTTTATTTCCTTCCTCCTACAATTTTTCACGGTAGGGTATGACGTGAACCGCAAGCACAATGATGTTGAGATATTCGCAAAACTTTGACCCTGGGCAGACCGACATACGATTACCCTTTCCAGGGACTCGCGTATTACACACTGCACCACTGCGTACCACTACCAAGCATCCAATATAGTTGAAAACTCTAATCTGTCCAGTCGTTTGCTATAGACGGCACTTGGATTCTATTGCCCCCATTTACACGAAGGGCACATTTTCCTTCCGTGATAACCGCAAAAAAGGTTAACCATCCGGTCTGTGGTCTTCCCCTTAAACCTAACGTTTCGTAGCATGAAAACCAGTCAATAACGTCCACTAATAACCAGTTATCGAGTGCACCTATCAGGTATCCGATATAGCTGATCTTTGACACCGCTGCTAGCTTTTAAGACGATGAAAATGGAGTAAAGCTATTTCGAGCAATTTCACTGCGTTCTATGAGTCCCCTACACGTCCCTGCTGTGCTGGCATTGATTAGGAATCTCGCACTCTAAAAAGCGAGGTGTTGAAAGAAGACCAATATGTTAACGAGGAACGGTAGTAGATTTTCTTCATTGGCATTTAAACTTGTCAAGAAGATTCTCCACGGAAAAGTGTTAAACGGCAAGTTGAGTACCGAAAAACAAATAAAACCCGCTTTTCCGTATCTAGACAGCCACTCAGTGATTTTACCATGCTTTCCAACTTATTCTGCTCAAAAATGTCGGCGATGCTTCTGCCAGTGAAGATTTATGGGTATCTTTGTAGGTTTCCCAAGAATACACATGGAGTCTTTGCCCTGCAGGTTCCTCATGAGAAGACGAAGTCTATTTGTTTGGAACCACTCTGAACGTCTTCTTTTCCTATAATTTTTTTTGAAACTTCTCGCTGGGTCTATTTGGAAGACAAAATCCTCATTTGCTCACGGATATCCATTCCACACTTTCACGGACATTGTGTGTGTATATGTGTATATATGTGTATGTGTGTATATGTATGTGCGCGTGTGCGTATGTATGTACGTGCGCAAGTGCGTGTGTGCGCATGCATGTATGAGCGCGTGTGTGTGTATGCATGCATGTATGGGCGCGTGTGCGTGTATGTGTGTATATGTGTGTGTGTGTGTGATTGCGTGTGTTTGTGTGTATATGTGTGTGTGTTTGCATGCAGAATGTATGCGCCGACCGAGCACACCACAGACAGGTAGTCCACACTTCTAATGTACCTGTCGTCATGGAAGAGTACAAAGCCGCTTTTCATCTTTGCTTCACCTCGTAGCCCATTGTTAGAGCTACTTTAGTAACCTAATGACCACCGGCTTGAGGTCGCTTATTGAAGCAAACGCGTGAACCAAGAGGTCGGATAGCAGCACATTTTCAAATGAAATCCACCAAAAAAGGTTGGTGAGAAAAAGGCTGAACAGAATGTTTGTTTGCCAGCGATACTTAGACTAACCGTTATTGACTTGTAGACAAAGACGTCCAATATTGCACTGATGATTGCAGGAAGCTGGAATTTCTTCAGCGAGTAAGACAAATGAGCTAGTTCAATAGATTTAGATTTTATGAAATGAATTTACCAACTCGGGTAACGATCGGGTAGACGATCACTTGCAATAGCACATCACTTGAAATAAGCCAAAATACCATTCCGGCAGACCAGAGCATACCGTATCCAGCAGCTGGTATTATCACTTCTTTACTAATATAGACGCTTTTTCGTCGAATTATGCAGTACAAAAAAAAGAAGATCGTTGAGACAACGAATACCGTAGAAAAGAATGACCATGTATAGTCCAGCACTAAAATTACAAGTAATGGAAGAAAACCTTGGTAATTCTGAGAAAGTGTATAGGTTGAAGTGAAATAAATTTAAAAAGTTGGAAAGTCAGAGGTCTCTTTAAAATTCAAGGATCGAGTTCCCCATCAGCATTGTAGGAGGTAGTAAGGGATTGTTAAGCACAGGAAGAGATACGTGCAGGGAAAACAAACGGTACCAATTCTACAACATATTAATCATTAGTGGATTCATCCATTCATTTCAACTATTCCTCAGATATCCTGCTCGCTCTCTGTTTCATCTTCCAATTTTCATGATGTTATTTACTTGTTACTTGATACTTGAATGGCCCATCCTCACAGGTTGTGCGGATCCCAAAATAATCTCTATTTTTGCTAGATTTGCTGGTTGAACCACTGTGGTTTTCTAGAATTCCGAGGTCAGCCTGGCCAAAATCTGTCTCATGTCTTCACCAATACAGGCAGTTGTAGCCCTTGTGGGTCGGAGGGAGGTTTGCCACTGTGATACCAAGACGGTGGTGGATAAACACCGGACTCCTTCTCAGTTTGGAAGACCCTGCCAAGGGGAACGAATCCCACCGCTGTACATTGCAGCCCGACTCCTTGGAACACCTCCCAGCTACGATGAAGTGGTAAACCATTGGGGCATGATGTTGTTTACTTTTTGTTTTTACAACTGTTTATTCTTATGACGTTTTTCTTCCCAACTTCTGCAGCAGAAATAATTTTTTCAGTGGTTTTGGATAGGAAACATTCGAAATATGATTTTTAAACGAACGACCTTGGTAAGAATCGCGTGGTGGGTAGCGTTGTTTCAATATTTCAATTGGTGTTACCATCAGCCCATTAGAAGTAGCAAGCAACATCGCCATGAATATGTATCTAAATCAATGATTTTGATAGTTTCTTTTTCAAAGACGGCCATCAATGCTTATTATTTTAGCAACCAACATTAGTTTTCCTCGGACTTGCTTACTCCAGTTTGCTTCTTCAGAGCTGTTCGAATCGCATGCTACATCGGAGTTTGTCCAGTCACTTCGCTCCATGTCGATGGCATCCTTCGTCGATTTCCCATCCGACTGTTTGACGAATATGAAGAGAACTCCGCTAGAAAGCTGGATCATTCCATTTTCAAAGATAACCGAAAATTTACGGCAATTCTCTCCTAAATCTCGGCTTAATAAACTATAACATTGTATATGACTTTGAAGCGCAAAGATTTTCCTTCACACTTTAATGTTGACATTTATTGTTTTGCACCAGTTTTTATGGAGTTTTCCAATAATTATTTAAAGGACTAAAAAGTTATGAGAAATGCAGCCACAATGAGAAAATTGGCTGAGCGAAATGCAAAGCAAGAGCGTCAGTGTTGCAGTGGGAAATAACCGGGCCTCCTGAAAGAGTAATGGTGGTTCGATCTGACTGACCTGGGACCAAATTCCGCGAGTATATCAACATCATTGTGGTTGCATTTCACGTAATACCCTACCGTAAAGAATCAAACTAGACAGTAAATAAAAGGTTAACATTGTAAGAAGTTACAAGTAAAAGAGTTTTGCGCAATTTCGAATTTGACCCAGAAAAAGACTTCCACTAGGAATGCTCTTTTCCCTGTGGAACCGTTAAAGATTATTTGGCGGGATCTTCTCTTCCGAACTTTGGTGGTGGAAGTCTGGAAAATAAAGGAGGCTGGCGAAGACAAGCTGTCATCGACGGTGATCAAAAAATGAAGAAGTTATAAGGAAAGAAAGATTCACATACTATGGTGCAAAATCTTGTGAAATAGTTAGGCGTTACTACGACAACAGCTTTAGATCACTTCAAGGGAATAGTGTTGCATGGATTCAAAGCAAGTCAAGAAGATTAGCGAGAGAGAGTAGGATTAAGCAGTTTTCTTCGCAACAAAATGCTTCACTTCCTTATTACACCGTATCGCCCATTTGGGCTTCACAGAGTCGACTACGAGTATCCGTCGTTGGACAAAAATGAAACAAAAATCAACTCAGTAAACAAGTTTGCACCATTATTTAGTAAAAGAATATTCTTATTTCTTGCCTGAAAATCACATTCTTGTGCAACTACCACACAAGCACGTTTTCACAATATCGTCCTATGTGGACGATCCGCCATTTGGTTGCTTTCGCCATTGTCACCATCACTCAACCCTTTATCCTCTCATAGTTTATTCTCGGCTGAATAATAAAGAAGTGCCACGTAGCAGGCGCCACGAAGAAGGTGTTTGCTGTTAGTAAATATTTTGCCGCGTTAGCCGATGCAATTGTAACCGCTACTGATCAACCAAATTGGAGAAAATCTACTTCGCATTACCGCCTATTAACACGTCGACCTCAACAGAAACTTAAAAAATTCAATATGTGTTCTTTCTTTGATGAGCTTACACGAAGTTGAAAATGATATTTATTTTCGGCTAACGTTTCGACGTCTTCGTCTTCCTCAGAGCCGATTATCCGAGTCGATGGTCCACGCTTGTTATTCGTCTCGACGTGGCAGCTTCGCCTTCGTGTCGTGTAAGGTCTTCCTCAGCGAGCCATCTCCTCGTATGAGGCACCTTCACTCAGTGAGGCCCTTTTGTGCAGGTTGCTGATGGTGGATAGCTGTGATTATCCGGTGATAGTGCGACAATAACTTTTTTTCCCAGACAATCAAACCTGCAAAAGTCGGTGTCATTATCAGCTAGCAACAATGAGTAAGGATGCCTCATTCGAGGAGATGGCTCACTGAAGAAGACCTAACTCGACACGAAGGCGAAGCTGCCACGTTGAGACGAATAACAAGCGAGGGCCATCGACTCGGATCATCGGTTCTGAGGAAGACGAAGACGTCGAAACGTTAGCCGAAAATAAACATCATTATCAGCCTCGTGTAAGCTCATCAAAAAAGAATACATATTGATTAGTGATACCGATGTTCAAGGAAAGTGGGTTTCTAAATATTGATAAATTCATAGTACTTCTGTTCAGCAAACACGAGGTGTTACTTTATTTTTTTTTTACGTACAAGCTGAAGCTTCGGCGGATTTTGCCTTCCTTAGAGCCTGGAAAGGTCACGTTGACTACAATCTACACGGCTAAACCCCTCCGTAACCAAACAGAGAAAATGCTGAACAAAAATTTCAATCACATTGGACACAGAGACTTTGCACACCCACCGCTTTCTATCAGTCTTCCACTAAATATGTCACGTGGAGACCAACCGCACAGAGTTCACAGGGAATCGTATTGTGCCCATCTCATCAATATAACAGGCTTATATACTGCCCAATATCACGCGTAATAATGAAGTATTCTTTCCTACGGTTCATTTTCGGATTGCTGGAATTAGTCCAGAATGCCTCTAGAGTTCTGCACGCTTGTGTCCTCGATTCTTGCGCGAAGATCGTAACTCTTGCTTCAAAATCTTCTCCGTTATGTCTCTGAATCTTATGCGTGCTTAGTGGAGTATTTAGTTTATATTTGCGACTAGATGTTCTTTTATACGAACAGAAAGTAGTCTGCCCGTCCCGCCAACGTATTCGTCCCCACACGCTTTACAAGAGATCAGGTAGATTGTACCCGAAGTCATGCAGTCACCATCTCTACAATTAGGGCAAGTTGTGCAATTTTGCGTTGCACATATTCGGTCGCAGAGGCGGTTACGAACTAGCTGACATTTTAGATTACTCGGTGGCATTTCGATTATCGTTACCGAATTCTCTAGACCGGCTCTTCTTAAACATCGTTTTTTTTTAAAAATTCAAACGCCAATCTTCCCAACTAAATTCTCACAATGACTTACCAAAACAATTTAATCCCACTCCTTTGGATACTCGTACGCCCTATGATCAGGAGTAGTGCAAACCTCAGCACATCATTTCCATTGATTAGCGAATGTTGTGCATGGTGATCTTTTGCTTCGAGGATTGCGACGTGTACAAATGCCATTTGATGAACTGTGCAGCGTCTCCAGTTGCGAATATAACTGAGTGATTTTAACTACAGGCACGTGCTCCCATCGTTTGGGTGCTGCTCCGACAGAATGTTTGCATCCCATTGGAATCCGTTCAGTTGTTTTTGTCCTATTTGTTTTTTCTGGTTATATTATTCGTCAATCTACGTCTTACAATATACATGTATTTTGGTGAATCTGAAAGATGGGGCAAAATTCGAAGATATCGGCTGCCCAGGACTAAAACTTGTGGGCCTGGATTAAATTTCAGAAGACATCGTTTTCGAGCCCTGTAGATGGCGTGAAGATTTTTCAGTGTGGTTGAATTCGATCCATCTGTCTTCCACTTACCAGCACACTTGAAGGACACTAGAGTCTTTAGTGGCTTCTTTAGCAGCTCTGAGCGCTCCCATTCTGCTTCTTTAACATGATGCCTCTTCCTTGTTGTTTTGCATATCCACTGAACGATCCAGGTACACGATGCAGCTTTGTAACCAGGGAACCATGGATATCAATTTTTTAACCTGCGCACCATAGCATTTTATAAGCTGGGTTTTCTTCAGATTTTCGTATAAGCTTAGAATGTTTCTTTCTCCTTTGAGCCTCGTCTCTACTTCATTGATGAATCATGGCAAGTTAATAATGTTCTCATCAAACCAAAGTTTGAAAAGGGGTTGCCATCACTGCGTTCATCCTTATTGATCCGATCTAATTATTCATCATTTACCACAAAGCCGTGGTGGACAGATTTGCCGAGATGTAGTCTTGCCAGGATCGTTTCATTAAGTCGGCACGGCGACGCGATTGGCAGTCTTTTTTGAGTTGCGTTTACGCAAATAGTCACGTCACCTGGAGTTCATCGGCCAGTTGATTACTTGGTCGAAAAGGCCGATGGTATTCCATCTTTTTTATACTATCGAATGCTTTTTTGTGATCGACAAAGTTAGGACGAGCGTAAAGTGTATTTCCCAACCCGTCACACGATTGCGATATGGTTTATGCAACACAGTGCTTAATTATTTACTTGCAAAATTAGACGATCTATCCTCACGAGTTTTGCGGACTCCAGAAAATTTCGCCTATCCCCGTTTTCCCCGTAATAATAGTCATGGTGCTAGTTTCATTGGAGCATGGTAGCGGATACGTGTCCCATACCGTGATCTGTAAAACAACTGCAACTGCGGATGCAGCTGATTAACTTTTGCTACAAACAGGTCCGCTCAACAAGGTGGCTGGCCTAAGGAACGCCTCCATCGTCGTGGAATCGACTCTACAATTCTTTTCATCCATCTTTCATTTGTTCTTCTTATGTGTCAGTTCCATCGGTGTTTCGCTATTTATGCACATTTATATTTCCCGAAGATGGGATTGGTTTGGAAGATCTGACCTTCGCATCTTCACCAGACGTGTCAGTTAACTTCCAGAGGGCAGCGTCCAAGCACTCTGTGAGCAATACGCGGTATTCTTGACGTGTTTGAGACATTAGTCCACTTTTCTGCTGCATTAAAAGGGGCTGGTAAGGCTGTTGAATCTACAACGAATTTTCCATCAATACCTCTTTGAAAATCGGAATGCGAATGGTGAAATTCATCAAAGAACTTCGCTAGGAACACATAGGACACATTGGTGATCATTTTGAAGTGAACGTCCGGATCCTAGCGTAGGGATCAAGAACATCAACGCGCAAGACACCTAAGTTATTTTGGATGAATTTCAAAAATTCAAAGATGGACCGGAAAGACGAGTGCCTCACTATCACACGTGACCTGGCGCCCTATTTCAAAATGATATTTTGACCCTTGGGCGTGGCTCGCTCGCGACCCCACGTGAACAACGCTTGTGCCAGTCCCACTCGTAATATCACGGTGAGTAGCCTTTCTGGTCAATATGGCGTCTATTTAAAAGTTTGACCTTCATTAATACTTTAGCCTTTTTTCCATTGATTAATTAAAGTACTCTTATATAAAATACGTCAAATACGTCCAGGCTCTGAGGAAGACGAAATCGCCGAAACGTCAGCCATCGACCAACGACACCAACAAAGACGACAGCGGCAACGAAAACTTATACCAAACTCGCTCAGATCAAAAGATCAGTGTATAAAATCGTATAAATAAATACGTGTATGCATTTCTCATCCCAAGTGAGTGACTTCGTTATGCACAATGGCTCAGCACTAAACAGCTTGGTGATATTGTGTCGCCCTGACGAGCTCCTTTTCTCATGGGTATGGCACGAGGTCGATGGAAAAGGTGTATTTTCGTGGTGCACTTCCAACAGAAGTCGGATAGAATTCTTATGTAGGATGAGTCAATGTTTTGGTCGACGAGGGTTGAAGGGATTGCATTTGCTTCGACACCGTCAAACGGTTTTTCATAGCTGACGAAAGTCTGGAAGAATTAAGGGTAGATGGCGTTTCTGACAAACTTCAATGACCCTAGACACAATTTGGACGTAGTCCATGTGCCAGGATACCTGTGGAAATTAGGCTGACAGTGCTTGAGGTCTTCCCCTGTTTTGGGATCCTCTGCTGTCCAAGGTAGGATGCGAAATCCTTTGATTAGTGGCTTTTTAAAGGCAAGCCAGTTGTAATGTCATCAAATCCTGGGGTTACCTGTGCTTTCCTTAATGCTTTTCATTGCAACTTCAACTTTACAGTGAAGAGTACCGAGCGGATATTCTCGAGCAGAGATTTTTAGGTTAAGGTGGAAAACCTAAACTCAAAGATCTTCTACAACTGGCATCCATTATCAATCCTGTGAAGTGTCCTGCAGTAAGACTAACCTTCTAGTTTTTTTCTCTTTTTGAGCAGCCTATAAATAGTGATAAAGACCTGGTCTACATTTTTGCTTCAGGAACTGAGGCGTGTTCGCAGAATTCTTTTGTCCTTCGAGAACAATCAACGTTCAGTTGAGCTTCCCTTTATACGTTAATTATGTCAGACTGAAAAATTCAGTAGAAACATTTCCGTTATATCCAACATTTCTTCTTATTCTTGGAAAATAAGAAGTGTTCTCCTTCAATCAGAAGCCGCTCATCTGATCCATTGCAGCATTCGCTGGCTCTACAGAGGTGCCAATAAGGCACCATTTTCTTCTTGCGAGAGTCATTATCAGCATAAGTCATGCCGTCGCAAGACTGCATGTCTAACAACGATTTTTCTTCTCCTGGAAAATGAAGTACCATTAAAAAACATGCTGCAGAAAGGAATCCTACCAGACGATTCCCACCTCCATTAAGATTATTACTCCAAATTTTTTTTTGCTATATTGGTTTTCATTGGCTCTTCCTATTCTGACATGAAGTCTCAGACAGCAAATTTGTAGAAGCACTTTCCGTTTCCGATTACTTCCTCCGATTAAGCACAGAACGTGTCTGGTATGTGAATAGCATTTGATGGTATTGACTTTTCTTGACGCGCAAGATGAAAATGAAGAATAGACGGTGATAAGGTTTTGCATAATTGACTAGAGATAAGAAATAGATAAGTGTACAACAAATCCAACGCCTCCAACATTACTTGACGGTAGCTTCTCTCCATAAGTGAACATGATTCCGTCGTGTAATTGGCTGCTTTTGATGTGAATTTCACGCGATCAGCAACATGAAGTAGAAGGAACAGATCAGCATCTAGGAAGACTACTTAGGTAGTATAAGTGTAAAGCAAGATGAGCTCTCGATAGGGTGTCGTTGGCACATTCGTTCGATCTACTTCAATAATGTTTTGTGTGACTCAAAATTGATCACCTCACTCTGATTGTTTCACCACTCGACGTCGTAGAAGAGGCACCGGTGCGTGTGTGCTAGGAATATTTTTGTAAAAATAAAAATATGTAAAAATATCGGCATCTTCACATGTGTGTAACAAACTGATAAGTTTAGTCTCAGGAAACAATAGGTCAACTTCAGTTTTTTGACGCTGTTGTAACAGATTCTATGTTGTGTAATGTTTGTCCTCCCAACGGTTTATCGAGTCATCGTTGCTGGGAGGTGTTCCTGGCTATCAGACCGCGATGCACAGCGGAGGATTCATCCCCTCGCAAGGTCAACCAAGCTCAGAAGGAGTCCGGTGTCTCCATCAGGAAATCTAGCTAAGAGCAAACCAAAACCAGGTTATCATCACCGTCCTGGTATCAAAGTCGCATAGTGGCATATTATCCTCTGATCCAAAAGTGCGGTGGCTCCCTGTGGTGGTAAAGATCTGGGGCAGACTTTGGCCAGGCTGAGCTCCGGATTCCTAGGAACCACAGTGTCTTAGCTACCAAAATTCTGTAAACTTGGATAATATGCTAGGACCAGCACAACCACTGACGACGGGCCATCCATGTATCCAAGTAAGCAAGTGATGCTTATGCACGGATCAAAAAATAAGATTATAGTGTTTGCTTTTTATTTTCTGTCTTGTATAATGTTTATGGCAGGGTATTAAGCGAAATTTAACCACAAGATTGCTGAGATATTTGCAAAACTCTGGATCGCAGGTGTCTGCGGTAGGAAACGAACGCGCTGTTGTCCTTTCCGGGGAGTAGCGCACTTCACCACCACACCATTCGGGTCTTTCGTTTTGCCTGTCTCTCAGCTAGTTCTATCGATTAGTGCCGTCAGCAATCACCCGTCAACGGGATTGGTCTGGAGAGCGCACATTGGCGTTGAACCCAGTTAAGCTGAGGCTGTAGTTGAATTCGCATCGTTTACTTCTTCGATAGAACTAGCTGTGAGACAGGCGAAACGAAGGGCTCATATGGTGTGGTGGTGAACACGTTATTCCCCGGAAAGGACAATAACTCGTCCTTTCCCCACCGCAGACACCTGCAGTCCTGATTTTTGCAAATATCTCAGCAATAAAATTATAATAACAACGTTTTGTAATCTCTTTACCTGACCACAGTGATGAAAATTCCTATATAGTTGAGGGCGTTATGCGCCACCTCAGTTGGTGCTAGCAATCGAAACAGTCCAAAACGTGACACTGACCAGCCGACGAGGATCTATGTGCGAGCTAATAATAGTGATGTTTCTTATGTATTTATTTCATGTGAGAGTTAATTGTGTCTCGCTTTAATATAACGTAATGAATAACTATAAATTTCGTGCGTCAAGTATCCAGTGTAGTAATAATGATGTGGTATAGCGCTATTTCTTTAGAAAACGGTCAACCTGCAAAGATCCCCATATAAGAAAAGCGATAGCCATGCCAAGACCATTCACTACTGGTACAGCAAGAACGTTACCTGGAATTTCAACATATGTGATCTACATATTTTAGAATACTTTTCTACGTTAGGAACTGAATGAATTCGAGATCATTACATAAGTCTGTTTGCCTCTATCGAATCACTTTAATTTACTTAGAGCGAGATAGCCATCCAACCAGTTTAGTATGCAACCACACCAAAATTCCAATTTCTTTAGTTGAGTGGTACTTTTGAGTGCAAAACAACCAAACTTCCACTTGATATTGACGAACGTGAGTGCAATTAACCTCATAAATGAAAAATTCTAAACATTCACCTATGGCGAACAGCGCTCCGCCAGTGGCGGCAATCCACTGAAATGGCGGAAATCCTTGAATGACGTTGACGACGAAGCCGATCACAAGCACGACGCTACACTGGACCCATTGAACGAAAAATCCTAACACAGTCAATAAACACTGTCTAATGGTAAAAGGAAACTTTTAAAGCTATTGACCAATCGAATATTAACGTGTTAGCCACATTTGTTTTCCACCTCTGGTCCCCAAGCTGGTGAATGAATATGTTGTCCCTAGTGCTATTTCCAAGGTGAGGAAGATGAACCAGTCAGTGTTCTATCCATTCCTGAGACATTCGTTATTGAACTATACAGGTACACAGCCTGCGATATAATATCAATAATAATATTTAGCAATATAATATATCTATAATATTTAACAATAGCAAAAACGTGGTTAATAACCCTAATACTTACTCAGTTGTTGAAGTACATTCCAGCTCAACTAACGATCACCCAAATGCTCCTGGATCGTCTACCTAACGCGCGACTCAACAGCGCGTACGTGGTGGAGTCTTTCGACGTCACTGCCCTCTATACGAACGTGTCGAATGACTCCGCTATGCAAACCGTCCGCGAGTTCCTTATACAACACGAAGGAGCAATAAACATCTACGGCTTCTCGATTCGGCAATTTACGACACTCTTAAAGGAGTGCCTAAACTGCTCAATCTTTAGATGGTCCAGGAGGTATTACGCACAAATGAGAGGGCTGGCAATGGGACAACGACTGGCACCAAGCCTTGCCATTGCATTCATGTCTAAGGTGGAAGCGCCAGTAATCGACCTCGGTCCGTTACTCTACTGTAGATATATAGATGACTGCTTGGTCATTTGTTCAACAGAAGAAGAAATTGACCGATGTTTCGAGTTGTTGAACGAACAGTCAGGGTATATTAAAATCACCTGAGAAAAACCAAAAGAAAACTGGCTTCCATCTCTAAACGTGCAAATAAACCTATCAGAAAACGGCTACAATACGAAGTTGTATCGAAAGCCAAGTAGTAAAAGAATTTTGGTTCATTAGCTTTCCTCTCATCCCTCTCACACAAAAGGGCGCTTGTGAGGAACATGTTTCGAACAGGTACCAGCGTGTGCACAGAAAGAGAGCAGAGAGAGGAGTCCCTGAACTTGGCGCGACAAATAGCCATTTTTAATGGCTACGAAACTGTAGCTTGGGATAGATGTAGGAGAAATCGGAGGCCCCCAAACGACAACTTTAGCGATAAAAAGGTCCCGTTTATCCTACCCTTTAACTCAAATGATGTAAGTGCAGCTATAAAACGCTGCTTGAGAAGGGTGGGTCTAGAGAATTCGGTAACGATAATCGAAATACCACCGAGTAATCTTAGGCGCCAGATAGTTCCTAACCGCCTGTATGACTGCCTATATGAAACGCAAAATTGTATAATTTACCCCAATGGTAAAGACGGTGATTGCATGAGCTCGGGTATAGTTTATCTGATCTCCTGTAAGGCGTGCAGAGACGAATACATTGATGAAACGAGCAGACCCCTCTGGGTCCGCATAAAAGAACAACTAGCCGGCAAACATAAACCAAATACACCGCTAGGCACGCATAGGACCCAGAGACAAAACCGGAAGACTTTGAAGTACGTGTCACTACCCACGCACAGGAATCAAGAACACAAGCGCGCAAAGCTATGGAGGCGTTCTGGATTAATTCCAGGAATCCGAAAATGAACCGCAGGGAGGAATGCCGCATTATCACGCGTGATATTGGACAGTACATAAACCTGTTATTTTGATGGGAGGGGCACATTACCTTCCATGTGAATTCTGTGCGGTCTTCACACGACGACACACTCAGTGGAAGACTCATAGAAAGCGGTGAGTGTGCAGAGCTATGTTAAATGTGATTGAAATCTTGGCTTAGCGCTTTCTCTGTTTGGTTATGGAAGTGTTTGGCCGAATAGATTGCTGTCAACTTGACCTTTCCAGGTTCTGAGGAAGGCGAAATCCGCCGAAACGTCAGCTTGTACGCAGATAAAGAAATAAAGTAGCACCTCGTGTTTGCTGAACAGAAGTCGAAAGAATTTAGCAGTATGTCGAGCGTAAAAGTGTTACATTTTAGCTTATCAATGGAAATACATGCAGACACAGCATGGAGATATGGATGACTCCATTAATGAAATTACATCGTCGTGGCTCCGATGAAAATGAAATTGTCAGAACGTTGGTAACCATGTAGATTTATAACAACCTCGTGTGAGGTCGTCAATAGACAAGAAGAAATACAACTTTTTAATAAAATTGTGTGGTTTCTTTTGCCGTTTAGAGTAGAAGAGCCCCAGTTGTAATTCTGGAAAAAAACAAGGACCAATAAAGCTCACTTGCAAAGCTTGCGGTGCTCATAACTATCGATTTAACAAAGAGATTACGGGCGACAAAGGTGCCATCGAAATATCCGACTTTGTCTTAGTATATACTTGGTATTATTCACATAAAATTTTGCTAAATGGAACATATGGTTTATTCTATATTTTCCGTTCCGTTACAAACGATTCCTTTTATCACATAATGTTTTCAGTTGTGGTGTTCTCAAAGTCTTGAAATGCAACAAACCCACCATCTTTGGTGTTCGTTCGTTTCAGTGGCGTAAACATGGTGCCGAATGCAGCGCATGACAGGAATAAACCTACGTACCCGAAAACAAGAGCGGTCGTGGACGGTTGCTTAGTAGTAAACGATGAAGAGTTTGAGATTTGTATCATCCTTAAAATGGCAAGCTGTACAAAAGCAGTGCTGTTTTCTCAAAGCAAAACGGTAGAGAAGAGGATTTCACTTCTTGTCACTGCTTCACCCCAAGGTTTGATCAACTTTACTAGAATACATCTCAATATTACTACCAAAAAAAAACGTCACTGAAGTCAGCACTGTAACACGTTCATTTGTAATACATCCTTTATCTTCTATGCAGGGCTCTACTTGCACAATCGTCTTTTATTGGTTTTTCATTTGGCTGTTCTCAGAAATTCTGCTATTTTGGAAAATTCCTATCGAAGTAGCAGACTTTGTTGGGCCGCTCTATCTTAGCCACCTGTGGAAGGTGGGGAGGGGGGGGGGGGGGGGGNCCGGGGGGGGGGGGGGGGGGGGGGGGGGGGGGGGGGTGTTAAAATAAAATTAATCAACGGAAGTTAATCTTAACAAAGATTATAAGCCAGCGAATCGCACTAAAAAAGGGTTGTGATCCTTGTATCACTTAAAGATGGGTATCTTAAGTATCACTGTGCTTTTACGAACGTGAACTGTAGAAGATGTTGGATCGATGATTCTCATGTTCTAATTCTGACGTATCCTGCTATGCAGTAGCTAATGGTTGTTCTGCCGTCGCGTATCGGTGCATCCTTTCGATAGGACGTTCGACTATATTGACCACCCTTTCATTCTATTTACATGTCATGAAGTTTTCGAAATATACGTCAAGACAAAAGCAATCATAGAAAGTTTTTGGATGGTGATCAATCCTTAGGAGATGAGTCATTCTACTTCGTTATTCGTTAGCCACCGTGGAAGTGAATGGATGTGTAGTCGAAAAGACTCTATCTCGGAAAGGTTTTGTGGAAAAAAGTCATATTGGAGCTAATGATTACATCGTTAAAATTGCACTTCATTAAATGTCCTTAAGTGACTGTCACCTTTAGCTCGCATTAACCTTTTTATTTCGTTTGAAACGAATCGCTTCTATACACTACAGACAATTTCGTTTTAAAAAATTTCTCCTTTACAAAATCAAAACTGACTAAATTTTTTTAATGTTCAGATATCATATGCTTCATACTATTATGGGAATCTTAGCACTTTTTGCACTCGATTCGTTTCCTTGCATCCACCGCACATGAGGGCCTCTGAACTGTTTGCATGTTCGGGCTCGGCTGTTGCTTGAGGACCCCATAAATGTCGTTAAACGCTGGTCTACCTACACGATACGCCTTGAAATCCTGGATAGCCGTGCAAAGGCGTTACCACGGAGTTCTCAGGTCTTAGACAAGTATCTCACCAGTTTCCCAACCTAGGAACTACGCAGTGCTTTGTGGCTTTGTCGCGCTGCCGAATTAGCGTTTGGGGTAGTTATGCTTTCCGCCTAGTGAACAGCATCATTTTGACAGCGTTACGTACACTCCAGCTAACGACAAAAACAGGTGAAAACGTGAATGAACCAGTGAATGGAATAGATAGCGCAACAGCTGAATGAGCGGTTCGTGGATGATTCAAGAAAGGATAAGTCACTGAAAGAAAAGAAACTGGACGATTATTAACACTAGAGCATAAAACCTTCAGAAAACGACAGAAGTTTGGGAAAATGCCTAGTATCAATTGCTTTGGAAATGGATTAGTTTGCAGTCGGTTTGTTCCTAGAAACTCGAAAACAGGGAGCGTGTTAAGACAACCAGTAAATAGGGACCTCGTTGGCTCACAGATTCTCAAGTTCTACAGCGATTGGAGATCTAGAATTCGCTTCTGGCAGGCAACACTGTTTACCCGCTCTTTAATCTACTGTCACGTGTGACGGAAAGTGAAAGCTTTACTACAAGAGAAAACTGTTATCGACAGTTATCAGCTGGAGAATGTCATCTGAAGAATTTGATTTGACCAAAAATGCACCCATAACGTGCGCCCAAACAGTACAGCCAACTATCCATTTAATCTTTTATGAAACTGTGTAATAAAAGCTACTAGAAAACCATACTGTAATAACGGATGCATCTGCACAGATCATTTACTAAAGTCCAGACTATGAATAGATCGCCATATGCTTCACGGGTCGTCGTCTAGAAGGAGAATCCGTTAAACTATGAAACCATGTTCCACCCTTCCAACTAAACCGATGATGCAGTTCTTCTACACATCTGCAACATCTCATTAAAGATAATTGAGCAAATTTTAGAAGAATCGACAAGAAGTGGAAAGGATGCGCTCTCAGATTTACTTGGTTGCAAAACTCGAGACTTTTGTGAAAACAATGCGCGAAAATTCCTGCAATGTGTTAGAATTCCATGGATCCTAACCGTTAATGCTTTTTGAAAGCCGCTATTTAACTATTGATTTGAGTTATAACAAAACTTGCTCTAAAAGCCATCAACAATCTAAGAGAGGTAACAGGTGCGAAGGCATGAAAATCAGAGGAAAACTTATGTTGAGTCATAAGGAGTCACTACTGATGCACCCATGTAACTCTCTTCGAATTTTCGAATGCATTTTGGCGAATCGAATCGATTGCACAGATTCCACTCCAGTATGAAATTGACACTTAGAATCGGAAGAGGATTTTTCAGTTGATAGGCATCAGTTTTGAGCCTTAAAGTAAAATAACCACGATCAGAAGAAATCTGATTTTTGGAAAAGAATCAGTACCCTGCAAGATGAAACTGTTTTATTGCAGGCGGAGTGGATAGTGAATGGAAACGAGATTCAAGGAGAAGTCTATTGCTAGTCTTGGCTGTTATTCTACAAAGTCAACAAAAAAGAAAAACAGAGGTAACATCAAACTGTATGTGAAGACAAAATCAGTAGTTGTAGAACAAAATGAAAAACTTCAGCCACAACTAGTGACATTTCATTCTCTCCTTGGACTGATAACTGGTTGTGTAGATGTTATAGGGGAAGCGAAAGGCGTTATCATCTCATGAACTAGTGAACTTTTGCTCAAGCAAACAGCTACAGCCTATCAATTGATTAATATCGATGAAACAAAAACGTGAGTTTTAAGTGAAGAACAGTGGTGAAACAAAACGTTAGTCGCAAAGCGATACTAAGTGCTAGTGCGTTTGTGTTCAGCTATTCATTTTATTGCCTATTTAATGATGTGTTTGGTGGTTAGGAAAAAACCGACTACAGGGCTAAATTCTCTTCTGAGCAACCGTGCTGAAGAACAGCATGCTTCACTACACGGTGAAGAAATTGTTTAGTTCAGCCATTTATCTCGTTCACAGAGCAATTTGGTCTTATTCACAATGGTACACTTGTGATAAATATTACGTTAAATCTGGAGCACGTTTATGTTGATGGTCGTGATCTGGCATCAGATAAACGCTGGTATTTGCCACTCGCACTGTGAGGACAGAGTTAAAAGCCTTCGAACCATGCAACTCTCTTTCTTACAACCATTCATAATATATAAGATCATAACATTTTATCTCACTCTGGAAATGCATAATGCATGGGAAAGTCGTGGTTGTAAACGGTAACTTATGCGCGTAGATAGATAGACTTTGAAAACTACGTTGACCAAAGGGCATTCCTTCTTCGCCTAGTTTGCAGGATATCGTGATAACGGAGTTGGTGTGTACAGGAACATTAACCAGGAATATTCTGTGGTTGACTTGTTGGAGGTCCCATCAACACATGGTGCTTCTAGTCCGATCCACCTATAGGACGGCTAACCAAGTCTTCAGTTTGTTCGGGACGGCCGTATTGGTCCTAAATTTCCCTGAAAGAAGGAGGCACTGAATTGATAAATTAAGGAGTTAGTCTGGGATAATGTATAAGCCAAATATGCATTCATTCACCTCTGCGATGCTTAATAGAGTTGGATGAATGAAACATACTTAAACTACTGATCGACATCTAATGCGTAATATCTTTCTATCCGGTCTGTTTTAAAAATCGTGAATAAGACGAATGCTTCAAAAAGGTCCTACACTAATGCTACGTATTTTCACCCAAACCGACCGACTTCACTACTACTACAACCCGGTGGCGAATGCTTTGAGTGAGTGGAGTCGCAGTGGCGAACTCTTCTCATAGAGTTATGGCCAGCGGGATGGGTCAGATACATTGTAGTGGTGAATGCTAAGATAAAAAAGCGTATAAAATAAAAGCTTACTTAAGAACGGCATGTACCACACTATTCACAAATAATAAACAATTTATTTATTCGCAACAAATTTCGATTTTTGAAGGGAAATATTTCGTATATCAAATGCAGCAAAATCGTAGATCCGTCAAATGCTTAGGAATGCCTTCAATGAATTTCCAATCATTCGATACGGTATCGAAGAGATTCCGTAATGTGCAAAAGCTTCCAAAGAGCGCATCCCATCTCACGGCTTGCTCATTATACTGACAAAACAAAAGCTCGCAATTTATTATGCAAGTAGTATATCAAATTAGCATTTCAAGATCAGAGTAGCAACAAGATCATTATAATTTTAGTAGGGACAATTTTGAAGCACTGAAACGATTAGAAGCTCTGATTCGAGAGTGCAATTAGGATGACTCCAGTAAGGCCGACACCGACTGCCGATGCGAGAAATATCAGATTGCTTCGACCCTGAATTATAAACATTACTAGTAATAGAAGGAATTTTTAGTTTACTGAATTTAGATATGAAAAAGGTTGGCGTGAATCGATCTGATAATGGAAGCCAAGAAATTTATTTAAAATTGCTCTATTACGGAACATAGAAAAAGCAGTAAAGTTTAGAAAACAACATCACAAAACGGTCTAATACTTTTCTTGGTCTACTTTCAAAGTAGTATCGCTATACAAGAATTAACAAGGAATTCCTCTGAATCGGAAAATATCTTTATCATTAGTATATAACGCTGAGATATTTGCAAAACTCCGGACCGCATGTGCGTGCGGTGGGGAACGAACACATTCTGTTGTCCATAACGGGGAGCAGCGCACTTCACCACCGCACCATCCGGGTCCTTCGTTTTGGCTGCCTCTCAGCTAGTTCTATCGATCTTTTTGCCATCAGCAATCACC